CCACCCCATCCTGCCTCATATCGCGGCTCACAGGAGCATTCCCTCCTCCCTGCCCTGCCCCTCCTCTGCCCCATCTGCCTCTCCCCTCCTATTTCTCCATATTTTCCAACCTCCGATTCGCCTGGATTTTATTTTTTTTTTCCCCCCCTTTTTCTTTTTATTTTTCATTTTTTCGCCATCTCCACCACGCCACCACGGGACACTTTAATTTTTTTTAACATATAAATTATTTATTTGATATCTTTCCCCTTCCCGGGCGAGGGTCGGGATTTGGGGGGGACGGGGATGGAGGGGTGGGTTTTCTTTTCTCCGGGATAAATACCGCCTTTCTGCTCGCCTGGCTCCCTTTAATTAGACTTCTTACTGCATGGAACAGTTTCGCAGTTATATATGGAAAACAGCCCACACTTTCCCAGGAGCGGAGCATGTTGGGAAGGGAAACGGGAGCAGCCGGCGCGCTCTTCCCTGGGAGCCGCGTGTGTTTTTCCTATCGCTTTTCCCGACTTTATTTTTTTTAACCCTTTGCGGCAGCGAAAAGCGCTGGCAGCCCTTGGATTTTCGGGTTTTTTGGGATTTTTTTGGTTTTGTTTTTTTTTTACCTTTCTCCCGTCTCTTTCGTTTAGAGGATCCCCCCGCTAGGCTTGGGGTTTTTGGAGGGGAGGGGGGGAAAAAATATAGATTTAGGGCTGGAGGAGAGTGGGGAGAGGGATCGGAGCTAGGCGGGACGGCAGGAGCTGGGCAGGGATGTGATCCAGAGGGGGATTCCCGGAGCAGGGACCCCCATCGCTGGCAGGAGGGGGACACTGCTGTCCCCAACCCTTTGTCCCCGTGTCCCTAGGGCTGCTGCCGCCACCCCCCCGCATCCGATCCCGCTCTGGAATCCCGGTTTTAGGATTAAAATTAGGATTTTTAGAGATTCCCCCCTCTCTCCGAGCAGCCCCAGTTTCCCTCTGCCGTCCCAGCTCCGCCTCTGCTGCCTCAGTTTCCCCCGCCGTGCTCCACAGGGGGATTTTTGGGAGGGGTTGCCGCCGCTTTGGGGTTTGTTTTTTATTTTTTTCCGCGGGATTCTCCACGGAGCAGGGAAGAGGAAGCGGCTCCGGTGACAAGGTGAGCCCCCAGGGTGTCCCGAGCACCCCAAAACCCGCGGGCTCCCCCTCTCCTCCTCCTGCCTTTCCCGGAGGAGCAGATGCTTCTCCCGGCTGCTGCTGGAGGAAGTGACGGGACCTATTTTCATCCCCCAGGGATCTTCGGGGTAGGAATCCCCTGTCCCTGTGTAATCCTGCTAAAAATACCGTGCCTGTGGCTGCTCGTCCTGCCCGGTGGCTCTCCCGTCCCCCGAGCGCTGTTTTGCCTCTCGGACGGCCCCGTGCTCTGGGTCGGGCTTTGCCTGCTGGGTTTGGCTTAATTTTGAGCCGAGTTTAACATTCCTGCGCTTTCCGGAGGGGGGGAGTCGGGGATGGTGGGATGGGGTGTGTGTGGGGTGAGCTGGACACCAAAACCGCCCCATCCCACGGGAGAGCCGGGAATGCCGGAGCATCCATGGGATGGGATATACCAGGCTCTGCCCCAGCTCCTGCCAAAATCCTGGCATGGCCTGGAACCCAAAAAATCCCAAATCCTGGCTGTGGCTGTGCCCGGGGCTCTGGAGCAGAGAGCTCCGGGCTCCTCCCGTGCTGCCCTCGGCACCATCCCAGCCTTGGATCCCTGTGGCCTCTCCTGTGGCCAGGCCAGCTCGGACACTGCTCCCTGCGCCCTCCTGGGACAGCATCCAAGTGTTGGGAACGGGATCCCCACCCTGCCAGGATTCCCGGTGTCCCCTCCCTCCCGGCCAGGTGTGCTGGGAGGCTCCAGGGCTGGGATGTGGCCACTGCTCCGTGTCCATCCTGGCCACCCTGCCACCCTGCCAGAGCCACCCCAGGGCCTGCTTTGCTGCCCTGTTCTCATCCTCCGCAATTCCGAGCTGCCCAAATCCCAGAGCTCGGCTTTGGACGGGCTCTGGGCTGTGCATCAGCGCTAAGCCAAGCCTAGGATGGGTCTGGAGGAGGGAGGAGAGGCGCTGGGGGCAGCGGGGTGGGAGCTGCTGCCCTGGACAGCAGATTCACCCCGAGGGAAGGGACAGGAGGAGGAAAGGGTCACCCACAGTGTGCCAGCCGCTGCCAGATCACCCCGTGCCGGCTTCCCGCTGCTCCCAGGCTGGGAAGAACCCATTTCCCGCTGCCAAGTGGGATGGAGAAGGAGTGGACAAAACCTGCTGCTGCCATCCAGGACAACCCTCCCAAGCCGGCAGCGCCACTGTCACCTCCCCGGGGACCAGGTGGCAGAGGGGACACGCAGGGGACGCCGTGGCCCTGCAGAGGGTGAGGCCAGCAGGTGTTTGCCGCTGCAGGAGAGGCCGGGTTTGCTCCTCATCCTCCCGCATTCCTGCAGCGGCCGTGCTACCTTGTAAAGCTCCGAGAATAATGAGAGGAGCTGCGCTGATTTAGTGCAGGCGCCGCCGGAGAAATACCAAGGCCTTAGATGGAAACATTCCCCCTGACAGCTCGCCTGGAGGCTCCCTGCTTTTCTTTTCCTTCCACCCCCCCTGGAATTCCTGGGCTGCTGCACCCTGAGGAGCGGGGAAGCCCCGGCCGGGGGGCGAGGGCAGATTCCTGACCCCCGGCACCGCGGCCCTGGCAGCTGCCCCGGTGGCTTTGGCACATGGATGCGACACTTTTGGAGGCCTGGACAGCAGGAGCCGGGCTTGTCACAGCCCCCGGTGGCAGCAGGATCAGAGCTCTGGGGTTTGGGGCTCAGGGCTGTGGGTTTGGGGGCGCAGGGTTGAAGGTTTTGGGGGTTTGGGGAGCCCCGTCCTGGATGGCAGCGCTGGCCGTGCCCGGTGTTCGCCTCCAGCCTCTTCCCTGCCCTTTGCAGGAGTTAATTGCTGGCTTGGGCACGCCAAAACCCAGCAGTTTTCCAACGTCAATTAGCAGGAGGCAAAATAGGAGCAAAATGGGAGCCAGGGCAGCTGGAATGAGCGGGGTGGTGGCAGCCACGTGAGTGCCCTGCAGGGTGGTGGCAGGGACATTCGTTTTGGGGAATGTCACCTCCTCCCGCCTTCTCCTTGTGCTTTCCCTGTGACCTTGGCCCTGCCGCCATCCCTCCTCTCAGTCCCACGGCCTGGCAGGAGGAAGGAGAGGAGGAGGAGGAGGAGGATGGTGTGACACAGCCAGGGGTGGGACAATGCCCTGCTGGCCTCCCCACCCGTGGTGTCACCTGAGGGGGTGACAGCCGCGTTGGGGACAGGCCCCCAGCGTGGCGCCCTGCACGTGGCAGCGCCGTGGCCGCGCTGCTGGCCCCGGGAATTGCCAGCGTGGGGGACGGTGACATCGGCGCTGCTGTGACACGGCGGGGCC